CCCATTTCCTCCACACTCCAGAGAAAGGATATTGCAAAATCCCCATTCCCTCTCCACTCCAGGGGAAGGATACTGCAAAATCCCCGTTTCTTCCCAATCAGCTGGGACTCAAGAGGCAGAGAATAGATGGGGGTGGGGCCAGTCAGAGGTGGTATTTACTGATTCTCCAAACTACTCAAAATTTCTGCTACCGGTTCTCCAGAACTGGTCAGAAACTGCTGAATACCACCTCTGGCACAAAGCCTTTTAGCCAATGGTACTTTAAAAAAAATATACTATACAAGACTGCAGAGGGAAGAGCATGGCGTCAGGCAACAGAGAAAGCTTTCCAATGGCTGGGTGTTTCTCGTTATGTAAAGTAGCTGGCAGCAGTGACAAGATATCCGTTGTGAGCTGATCATATCCGTTGTGAGCTGGGACCTTTCCTGAAGTTGCAGCCCAGGAATCACTTTGTTGGAGCAGTCATCCTGTCTTAAAAAGTCAACTCTCCTTGGAGACTATACACCAGGGGTGCCCAAACCTGGTAACTTTAAGAGTTTAAGCAGAGCTGGCTGGAGAATTCTGGGAGTTGAAGCCCCCAAGTCTTAAAGTTGCCAAGTTTGAAGACCTCTGCTATACATCAACCCCTGGTGATTCAATGTATAGCTCTCAGTAATTTTCTGAACCTGCAGTCATGTATCTCAACCTTGCCAGCTTTCAGATGTGTCCCAGAATTCAAGGAGTTGAAGTCTTAAAGCGACCAAGTCTGGGAAACACGACTGCAATGAAAATGAAAGGGTGAATTTTGTCTTGAGAATTCTATTGCTCAAAGCAAAGTCTGCAGCTGAACTGGTGGGTGTTTATTACATTTGTGTTTGCTCTTCTGGGAACAGGTGTGTCTGCTGGGCCAGAAAAGTGAAGGTAGGAGCTGTAACAGTGCATGAAAACTCTCCCCTGCTTTTTTTATGTGCATCATGAAACTTCAAGTTGTGAAACCCACCACGTTGGCATTTTTGGCCATAACCTTTGTGGGCCTAGCAGTTGTTCACCCTTCTGTGTGGAGATATTTTGTTAACTTCCTTCAAGAAACCAGGTTGTTACCTGTCCCTAGAGGCTATCTTGGTATCCCTTGGCTCTGTTTGGCTGCTTACTGGCCTATCTGCATTAAGCCTCATTGATTTTAAGCTACTAGATGGAGAGAAGTAAAACATATTTCTCTCTCCTTCCCTCTTTCTCTCCCTCTCTCCCTCATCTACCTACCTACTTATTCCCCCCCCCCTCTCTCATCTGTCTATTTATATAACTGCCCAACTCAATGCATAAATGACTCCAGGAGTCTCACAAAATTGTAAAAAATCCATCATGTACCCTGTTTCCCCAAAAATAAGACCTCCCCGAATAAAAAGCCCAATAGGGCTTTTGAGCGCATGTGTTAAAATAAGCCCTCCCAGAAAATATTACAACACAGCATCAGCAGCCATGAGGTGACCACACTCACCGCCTCCTCCACCTCAAAAATAATACATTTTCCCGAAAATAATGGCCAAGTGCTTATTTTGGGAATGAAAAGAAAATGAGACCCTGTCTTATTTTCAGGGAAACACAGTAATAAAAATTCATAAAAACCCCAGTCTATCTCCCGTGGCAGCTGCAACATAATTAAATCAGCCATTTCATTGGTTCCATCTTTTTGTTTCAAATCAAATTATAAAGTTGATTAATGAACTGCAAGTTGTTTTAATTTGTTGAATCTACAGGGATCCAATAGAAGCATAGTAATTTTTGTGCAACGACACCATGTTGCAGCTGATGTCATTTGCCCTCCTTTGCAGTCCCAGCAACACCCTTGGATGTCTGCAGGGGAAGCAAGTGAGATCACATGGGTCGTGGGATTATCAGGCAATTTGTCAACTTAATATCAGTTGTAGAACTTGTTCATATGTGGGAGGGCATCACAATGTGTGTAATGTCACTGGCTTTCCCTTCTCCTCCTTCTAGAACTCTGTACTAGGATCCAGCCCAGATGTTAGAATTCTTTCTTCAGTGAAATGATGGATGTTAGATACTTCTTCCTTCGATTATAACCCATTCAGATCCGATTTTATGCAGTGGTTCTCATCCTGCCTTAGGCATGAAAGCTGGGACTTTGAGCCAGTCACAATCACACTGTCACCATCCAGCCTACCTCACAGGGTTGTTGTTGTTGCAAAGAAAATAGGAGGAGGACAGATTATTATGTAAAATTGAATCTGGGTTGGTGTTGGGTTCTGCCATCAAAGGCTGGAGGGGGTGAGAAGGTGACAAATGGGCAATATGATTGGGTGTACGAAATGACAGGTGAGGAAGTCCAGAGAAGCCCACAACCAGAGGCACCAAGTCCATACACCCTGGGAAAGGAATGTGAATTGCCCACAACATTTCAGTGTTTTCATAACATTTTGGCGAGCTGCTATTGATGAAACGCAGACTGGACGCAGGGAGATCAGAGACAGGAATCTTTTCTGTATCTTTTTCATGCAAGGAAATCTTAGAGCAGTGATAGCTAACCTTTTTGGCACTGAGTGCTGAAACTGGAGCACCAGAACCTGGAAGAGAGCAGCTGGCTGGTGTGCAAGTGCATGGCAGCCAGCTGCTCTTCTGTGTTCCATCGTGCACATGCGCGCTGGACAACTGGTCTTGGCGCGAAGACTAGATGGCCAGCCTGCATGCGCATACTGGAACCCAAAAGATCAGCTGGCCACCACACGCATGCATGCCAGACCAGCTGTCCGGTGCGCATGCATGTGACGGAACCCAGAAGAGCAGCTGGTGATGGCATTCGTGCCCATAGAGAAGGCTCTACGTGCTACCTCTGGCATGCATGCCATAGGTTTGCCATCATAGCCTTAGAGTTAGTCTGACATTACTGCAATCAACTTCCTTCAGTAAAAGAACCTTTTACTTCAACCTAATGGAGTCGAAAGTCTTTCTTTCCTAAGGGATCAGATTGAGGCAGGTCTGACAGTCAGTCAATGGGTCCAGAAGTTTATTCTTCCAAGCTTTTGGACTCATGCTGGAGCCCATCTCCAGGGAATTTCTCTCTACTGGAATATTTGCTTTGGGGTTTTCTGTGAGTTGTATTTGTTAGTTGATTGATATGTTGATGGCTGGCAATTTGGCTATTTCTACTTAGGAGTCTTCAGCTCCTAAATAGCTGACAACCTGGTGGTAAATCAGCACTCTTGTTAATTGACATGAGGTCTGTTTCCCAGACTTCAATCATTTCTCTGGCCATATTTGTACCTATTTGGCCAACAATCTTAGTAGCTGCGAAATTGAATGTATGTCCTTGTTCAGGACAATGAGAGGCTACCAATATTCAGGTTTCCTCGTCTGACCATTGCTTGTGTTCTTCCTATCTGGTAGTACGTTCCTCCCTGTCTGTCCTACATAGTCACAGAGGCAATCCATGCAGGAGATCCAGTAAATTTGGTAGATTTGCCTTCATTCATGGGTATTATGTAAATTTGCTGTCTTATTTATAAAAATAATAAAGGCAAGATAAAAATCAAAGAAATAAATACATTTGATGTCAGGCCAATCCTTTCTTCTTTCAGAGGAAGATGCAGGCTCTGGACAACCAGCTGGCACGGCAGCTGATAGGGCTGCGGGCCCAGATCCATCAGCTGAAAGTGGAGCAGGCTTGCCATCGTCACAAAGAGATGCTGGATGATGCCACCTTTGAACTGGAGGGCTGCGAGGAGGACTCAGACCTGCTCTGCAACATTCCCCCCAAGATGGCCTTCCTCTTGTCTACCCCTCTCAAGCACATTGGAGTCACCCGCATGAATATAAACTCCCGCCGCTTCTCCTTGTGCTGATGGACCTTCACCCTATTGCCTGCTTGCTTGGCGCTTGTGGCTGCTGGCAACCAGGGGGTATCTTGGCACCCATTGCATGCACCTATAGATTTTGCACCTATGTAGAGCAGTGGCTGATCTGCTCTGGGCTCACAAACATACCTGAACTGGCAATCTCAGGGAAGTGAGATGATAGACAAAACACATCCTAGTAGAAAGTAGAGAAATCTAGGGAACTGCCTGGGGCAGCTTTTCTTCGGGTGAAGCACCCCTCAGGGAAGGAAGCTTTGCTACTTAGAAAAAGGAGATGAAAAGCAGGGAGCAATATGGAGCAAGAAGGACAATGGGTATCCTTTTGGTGATTCAAGGCTTAAGAGGGTCTGGTGGAGAACAAACTCCAATCTACAGGTTCAGAGAAGGGCCAACCCAAAGTTGCCAGCAATGCATGCAAAAAAGGAGCAGGGTTCACAAGCTGCATTTTGACCCTTTTGACCTCCCCTCCCTTAAGGTCTTCTATGCTGTGGCTCTCTGGACTGTCCTGTGGACCTGGCCAAGGACACAGGAGGGGCACATTATCATTGGTAATTTCACAAAGCTTATTAGTTAGTACCGATAGGAATCTTTAAGGCAGTTTAAATGTTTCTGTTGGTAATGAGGTCATACATTATTACCTAAAGAAAAAACACTTTTATCCAATTTTGAGTAATTTCTCCTTTGGGAAGCATTGCTGTAAAGGGTATTTCCTCTGTTCAGTGACTTTTCTGCTGACATGGTGCATGTGCACATCAACATACCACATTCTTCTTGGCCCTGCCCTTGCCAATTTTAACTGAGTGTGCAACCAGTGTGCTTGTGTTTACGTTAGCAAGCTTGGCACAATTAATAAAATACATGAAAAGAAACCCCAAAGATCATGATTCTGTTGCTCTTTGTGATCTCTGCTCAATTCCACTTTTCTTCCCTCGGCAATGTTCTTTATTAGCAATTTTTATTATGGTTTATTAACCAGCAGGAAGCAAATGTAACCATGTGGTAATTGTAACTCTGGATCAATGCTTTTCAACTTTAGATACATTAAAACATGTGGATATTAATGTCCATAATTCCCCAGCCAGTATGGATTAAACTTATTGGTTTAAAATAAATAAAAAGAGTACATAGAAGAATTTCCAACTAAAAGGAATATTTGGAACAGAAAAGGCTAAGATTAACGAGTCACAATAACACAAGAGTCGTCTTAAAAATGACACCAAAAAATTCAGAGTGAAATCAATGATTTTTTTAAAAAAACATTTTTTTATTTTTAAACAAACAAGTACAGACAAACATAAAACATAAAAACATCTTCCAATTCCATACAGTGTGTCGATTNATCATATTTTGTTTTTAAGACACAAGTTTGTATCCTTATTAGGTAAAGGTAAGGTAAAAGTTCCCCTCGCACATATGTGTGTTCCCAACTCTAGGGGGTGGTGCTCAGTTCGGCGTTTCAAAGCTGAAGAGCTAGCGCTGTCCAAAGATGTCTCTGTGGTCATGTGGCCGGCATGACTAAATGCCAAAGGCACATTCAACGTTGTTACCTTCCCACCAAAGTGATCCCTATTTCTCTACTTGCATTTTTATGTGCTTTCGAACTGCTAGGTTGGCAGAAGCTGGGACAAGTAACGGGAGCTCCCTCCATTACGTGACATTAGGAATTCGAAACGCCGAACTGCCGACCCTTATTAGGAGGAACCAAAATAAAAGATTTAAAGAACTTTCCTTCAAGATGAAGGTTAGGTTAAAGACAAAAAATAGCCCTCACAGTAGCTGTCATAAAAAATGTTTTGATGTGAGTAGCAACTTAATTTCAGAGATGCAGGAAGTGTAATTTCCAAATTGAATTGAAATAGTACTCTCAATAAATCCCTCTGCTGGGAAAACAACAGACTGTCCCAGTTTCTTAAGGACTCCATGAAAAACGAGCTTCCCAGCGGTGGTGAGGGACATTGAATACAGAATAACAGAGTTGGAAGGGACCTTGGTCTAGTCCAACACCCTGCTTAGGCAGGAAACCCTACACCATTTCAGACAACTGATTAGCGAACATCATCTTAAAACTTCCAGTGTTGGAGCATTCACAACTTCTCAAGGCAAGTTGTTCCAAAGATTAATTGTTCTAACTCAGGAAATTTCTCCTTTGTTCTAGATTGCTTCTCTACTTGATTAGTTTCCATCTGTTGCTTCTTGTCCTACCCTCAGGTGCTTTGGAGAATAGCTTGACTCGTTCTTCCTTGTGGCAGCCCCTTAGACAGCCATTATGTCACCCCTAGTCCTTCTCTTCATTAGCACTTAGACTTATATACCGCTTCATAGTGCTTTTACAGCCCTCTCTAAGCGGTTTACAGAGTCAGCCTCTTGCCCCCAACAATCTGAGTCCTCATTTTATCCACCTCGGAAGGATGGAAAGCTGAGTCCACCTTGAGCCTGGTGAGATTTGAACTGCCAAACTGCTGGTAATCAGCAGAGGTAGCCTGTAGTACTACACTCTAATCACTGCGTCACCATGGCTCATTACTAAATTAGCCATAGTGAGTACTTGCAACCGCTCTTCATATATCTTAGCCTCCAGTCCCCTAATCACCTTTGCTGCTCTTCTCTGCACTCTTTCCAGAGTCTCAACATCTTTTTTATAATATGGTGACCAAAACTGGATGCAGAATTCCATGCGTGAAAAAGGCCAAAACTTCCTTCGGCCTTCTCCACTCACAGGAGGTCATTGAATACCTCCGTATGAATACCTTTTTCTCTTCTAATATCCAACGTTTAGGATGATAGTCACGATAATGATGATTGTCAGTCATTTCTGAGCTAAGGTGGGAAAAGATCCCAGAGGATGCAGCCCTCCTTTTGCATATGGTACTGATTTCAAGAATCTGTTATGGTGTCTGGCTCAGAACAACCTTTAAACAAGGGTTTGACAAAAGAAGAATAAAGGTAAAGGTTCCCCTCGCACGTATGTGTTAGTCGTTCCTGACTCTAGGGAGTGGTGTTCATCTCCATTTCAAAGCTGAAGAGCCAGCACTGTCTGAAGATATCTCCATGGTCATGTAGCCGGCNATCTATCTATCTATCTATCTATCTATCTATCTATCTATCTATCTATCTATCTATCATCTATCAATCTATCTATCTATTTTGTCATGTTTATGTACTGTATATTAGAGGTGGTGACCCTTTGAGAGCGGTATGCAACAAAATTTCATTTTAACGTACGCCAATTAGTGACAATAAAATTATTCTAAATTCTAACATAAAGGATTGCCATATGAAAAGGTTGCTTCTTCCTGGTTTTGTTTTGTTTTAAATTTCATTTTCAGCTTCCTCCCTATTGCAGCTGGGAATTCTTTGACGCAACTGTTGAAAGCTAAATTAACAGCTCCAAGCGATAGCTTTCTATTATAAGGAGCCATTTGTTTTTCCCCGCCTGATAAAATGTGCAGATTTGCTCTGCTCTTAAGGCCGAGGAACCTGCTCTGCAAATGTCTTTGGAAAAGGTCACAGTACTTCTGTTGTGTGTTTTACAAGAGATGTAGGAAGCTGCACTTCAGAGTACCTCAATGCCTCTGCAAAAGTAAACAAGAGATGGACGTAAGGGGAAAAGAGATTAATAACCAGGTGGAAAGAACATGCTGAACTGGGATTAAGTGATCCTTCATAAATTATACAGAAATATTTAATCTTGCTTCATAAATCCTTGCTACAACTGACTAGAATTCTATAGATGTTAAGTGCTAGGAATTACTTACTGTACTTTAAAATGTTAAGATGCCAAGAGAGGTAATAAAGCACATCCATATGCAAACAGATGTAGTTTTTATCCTTACGGTTCTACTTGGCTTTTTCCCCACACCTGTATACAAAACTATAAAGTCCACGAAATTCACAGTATGTATACGCATGGAAACATGGAAGAACCATAAACCACACCAAAGGGCAATCAAAACAAATTCAGCACTGATTCTTAAAAGATAAAGGTAAAGGTTCCCCTTGCACATATGTGCTAGTCGTTCCCGAGTCTAGTCTGTTTCAAAGCCGAAGAGCCAGTGCTGTCCGAAGACATCTCCGTGGTCATGTGGCTGGCATGACTAAATGTTAAAGGCGCACGGAAAGCGGTTACCTTCCCACCAAAGGTGGTTCCTGTTTTTCTACNTGCTGTTACCTTCCCACCAAAGGTGGTCCCTATTTTTCTACTTGCATTTTTACATGCTTTCAAACTACTAGGTTGGCAGAAGCTGGGACAAGTAATGGGAGCTCACTCCATTATGTGATGCTAGGGATTCGAACCGTTGAACTTTCTGATAGACAAGCTCAGTGTCTTAGCCACTGAGACACCATGTCCCTTAAAGAAGAATAGGAAATGGTGATAATCCATGACAGCTCCATGCAGCTTTATTCATGAGCTAATATTCTTTTGACTTCCAGCTGTTGAGAGCAAGCCACAAGAAAGCTGTCACCATCTTCCTGAGATCTATGACTAGCCAGGAGCAACCGGCTAGTTCATTATTGAACCAGCACTCAGCATCTGAAGCCCATACATGTCAGACTCAAGGTCTCTCAAGACCACATCTGTCCAAGGTTTCCTTAAGAGGCACAAATGTAAAAATTGGTTCTCCGCCAATTGGTCAAGCTGACCCCTCTTTTTGAAAGTAGAGGGAAATGCACAGATGTCTAGAAAGCAGTTTCCACCAGGAGAAACAGAATATAAGGACATGTGTACTTTTGTAGCTACAAGTGGTACAAAGAGCCACGGAAAGAGCCACGGAAAGAGCCACGGAAAGAGCCACGTTCAGCACCACAAGACAGGACAGAAAGACCTGCACATGGATTAGAGAACAAAGGAAATGATGCCATCAAGAGAGTAAAAGAATCTCTGGGAAATAAATTGGAAATTGACATTAGCCACATTGTACAAAGAGAATCTCTATATAATGTTCTACAGGTGGCATCTTCCCCTGGCAAGATTGGCTAAAATGTTTAGCAACAACCCCCCCCCCCCCCAAATGTTGGAAATCTAAACAATCACCAAGCACATAATCCCACCTGTGGTAGACCTGTGAAAAAGCAAGGAGATTTTGGTTACAAATTCAGATATGCCTAGAAAAAATGGTTGGACAACATATAGAATTATTTCTATTAGGTATTATTACAGAAGGCTATAGCAAAGGGTCAATATACCTAATACTTCACATCCTAACAGCAAGGAGAATGGTGTATGCACAGCAATGGAAAAGTGGAAATACCTCTTCAGAAAAGGAGATAATAAGGAAGATATTAACATGTGCAGAAATGGATAGGCTAACATTAGAATTAAAAAACAAAGTAGAGACAGAATATTATGACACATGGAACAGATTTTATCAATGGCTGGAAACACGAGATGGGAGTCGGAACACAGAAAAATTAGGCTAAGTAGACCTGAAATGAGATATATGTATTTGAACGAGTATGTTGGTCAAAAATAATTGTATAAACTAGCAATGTGTAAGTAGTGTATATGTTATTTGTCTTTCACTTTGGTTTCTATGATGGATGAAACGTCAGGACATTCGCACTGTGCTTGATATACTTATATGTAAATAATAAAAATATATTTTTAAAAAAGAGAGTAAAAGAATGGAAATGGAAATGAGCTGGTCACAGAGCAAGAAGGACTGATGGCAGGTGGACCAAGGCGGTCATAGAATGGATCAAAAGTGTCCATGAAAGAAACCTAAAACAAAATGGATGGATGACATCAGCAACTATGGCGGGCCTAAGTGGCAAAAGAAAGCTTGGGACCATATGGGTTGGAAACATGCAGAAGGGGCCTTCATCCTGCAGTAGATAGACAAGAGATAGAGTAGAATAGAATGACAGAGCAATGACAGGATAGTGGAAGATA